CTCCCACCATCACATGTACATGGCTGTAAGTCCAGGCAGTACGAGGTTCGTTCTGCTACCCCGCTACCTACTCCGTCCCCACTCCGTCCCGCTACCCTTCCCCGCCTCTCTCCCCTTTGTTGTAGACAGTGCATCTGCTTTATCCGCATCGTAGTTCTCCTGTTCACGAATCCTATCCAATCAACAAACTTGTTCCTGTCTACTGACCAACCCGCAGCCGAGAGTGTTTGTTTGAAAAGCTATGGGAATCAAGTAAGCCTCCCATCTCCCGTCCTCCCCGCAATCTAAACCTAACCGTGATAGCAACCCTCTCCCAGCAAGTCTACGCAGCGAGTGTCGTAAAGCCTCCAGGATCTTGGCTTCGTTTGTTGATCCCAAACAGAGCTTTGGGCCTGATAAGATTATCCCGCCTTCTGTTCTTTCTAATGCTAAGGTGGGGCTCGCTTTTCTCTCTCTCTCTCTTTCTTTCATTCTTTTTTTTTACCTTTTTTTTCTTCTTTTTCTGTTGTAGGTTGAGAGGGCTGATAAATTGATTTACTGGTGGGTTAGGGGTTGGCGATTATCACGGTGCTTAAAGCGGGTTTCTTATTCTCGGGGAGAGTCGGATCCGGATTGGTGGTTGCGAGAAAGGGTGATGGGTGTATGTTTTATTTCTGCGCTTCTCGAGCTTATGGCTGACTCTTTGTGAAGCTTGGTCTGCTCCGTCCGCAATCGCTACGGCTGGGTGAGTAGCATTTGGGATTTTCACTGCCGGCACGGGAAACTAATCAATGTGCTGTAGCGCCGGGTTTGGAGGCCAAATTGGTGCTGAATTGACCGACTTTGTCATGATCCTAAATGACTCGAACGCTGTCAAGACTTTCGCTCAGGTTGGTAGCATCACGCTTGGAGGAAACGTATCCGTAGCTGCAGGTCCCGTAGGAAGAAATGCGGAAGCTAGCGGTGCAGCAAGTTTAAGATCTATAGCCGGGATCTTTTCCTATAGGTGCTCTAATTTTCCCACTCGCCAAGAATCCTTGCATTGTCGTACAGTCGCTGATCTCGAGTAGTAAAACCAAGGGCCTTTTCGCCGGCGTCTCGTTAGAGGGTTCAGTGATTGTGGAACGAAAGGATGCCAACAAGAAGTTTTATGGGGGGAACGTCTCTGCTAAGCAGCTGCTCAGCGGCAGCATTGGCCCACCACATGACGCGGACGCACTCATTCGGATTCTGAACTCCCGTGTATTCTCTGGAAACCTTACTGGTATGAACTATGACGATATGTATAATGATATTCCTACCTACGACAGTGATAAAGACGAGTCTATTTGGGAGGGTCAGAGCGGCAATGCTTATGGTGAAGGGACGAGACGGGGCTCAATAGGGAATCGCAACTTGTCCAGGTCTTCTACTTGGAAGGACGATCGGGATAGTGGTTCTCCGCGTGTGGTTTCTAGGGCGTCTACATGGCAGGACGATGTGTACGATCGGGATAGAGATAGGGGCAGAGATGATCCTGCTGATTCCGCATGGAGAGCGTCGCACCGTCCGGACCCTGCTCAGACGTTCGACAAATATGAGAGTTCCAAGAGCACTCAATTCCAGAGGCAGCATTTCAACAGCACCTACTCTGATAAATCACCTTCACCCAAGCGGCCCACAGGGCCCAAACCGGTCTTCAAACCGAAGCCACTGTTCACCAATAAGGCCGAACTAAATGCCAACCAAGCTATTGCGCTATACACCTTTGAGGCGGATCAACCAGGCGATTTGGGTATGAAGCTTCTCACCAATTGTGAATCCGTGGTGTAGATGGAACATGTTTGCTGAATATTTCCACAATTAGGTTTCAAAAAAGGTGATATCATCACCATCGTAAAGAAGACCGATTCAAAAAACGTTTGTATCGCTTGGGAGAGTGCGATTGTGCAAGAGCTGACTAACTCCTTTTAGGACTGGTGGACTGGAGAGATCAATGGTAAAACAGGAATATTCCCTAGGTAAGTGACAGTTTCCCCTCACTCCTTCCTGCATGGAGGGAGAAAGGGGGGAGAAAAACGTGCTGTTTTAGATCTTGGAAGCTTATGATTCAATACGTTTACTACAGCAATTATGTTGAGACCATGTGATGTTCTCGATTGGGTTGAGGAACGAGAGACGTGGTGGCGAGGAGAAAAGGTAGTTTTTTTTTTTCTTTTCAAAAAAAGAAATTTGATTTCAGCCTAGTTACGACTTTCCTACAGTATGGTACCTCTACTCTGTTCTGGTGAATGTTGGCTGTGTGAGTGAGTGTGGTAGACATTGGCAATTTGGTGTTTGGTTTTGCTTTCTCCCTTTTCCTGTCGATTTTAAATGGGTATTGGTTGTTCTCTTCTCTTACATCTTATTCCATCGCAAGCGAAATTGTTTTTCATGTTCTACATCTTATTGTGCATGTTCGAGTTACATGGTTAGTCTAGTCAGTGCACTTGTGCGTGCCAACGAATCCAGTCTGCCCCAGCAGCACTTTTCCCAACGAAAAGCAAAAAGGAAGGTCCCTTTCTTTCACCCTTTCTTTGTTCTCTTATGAGATTTGTTGCAGTAATTTCAACTGAGGCTCGAGAGCGGTCAGCTGATGCAAAAACAACATCGAGGTGGTTTTTGCATGTCTAGATTGGCAGATCCATGGTGTGGGGAAAGGTGGCGCATTAGGCTACCCAATGGAGTCTGGAGGACCCTGATGTTTTTTTTTACTTTTTTACACTTTTACCTCCTTTCTTCTCCATTGCACGCCCGTGTGCGCAGGTTGGATGGATGAGACGGATGTGAGGGATGGAGAGTACAAGTATGTTTGAGGAAGGGGGGAGCTCACGATGTTGTACTAGGGTATGTCATGAATTCATGGTACAGTCGTGTCCGGAAAGTTGTCGTACCCTCTCATAGCAACCGCATAACCACAACCCCCAACCATAAAAATTTCAAAAAAAATGTAAAGAATTCAATTAAAGAAAACATGATAGTATTGCTAGTAGACAATAAAAAAATATTATTACCATTTTGTATGGCCTCCATTTGCATCCAGTACAGCTTGCATTCTCTCAGGCATCCTATCTATCCATCCATCCAACTTCTCTTGGGGAATTAAATCCCACTCTTTCTTTGCTGCCTCAAACAATTCAGGTGCACTATGAGGCCTTCTTTCCAGTCTAGAGAATTGGTTGATAAGGGCTCTTTTGAGTAGTGCCCATGTGTTCTCAATAGGAGTAAGATCTAATGAGTTGGGTGGCCAAGGGAGTTTTTTATAACAACAGTCTGCTTCCAATTTTTGATTTTCCTCACCACCATGCCAGGAAGCATTGTCTGCAGCAAGGTAGATATTGTCAGAAGGTCTATCCAGACCCTCTATAAAAGGGATAAGGTAAGGCTGGTAGATCTCAGTTGCATATTGGTGAGAGTTTTGGCCAAGTTTGTCTCATTTCGCTGGTCCTTTCCTCCTCCCTCCTCTTTCTCACAAGAATTAACTCAGTCTTTCCTTCCTTCATTATTGCAGCATATACTCCAATGCTAGTCCTTCCAGACTTAAAGCTAGGCTTTAAGGTTTTTTCTTCCAGCTCTTTACCAGGTCTAACTTGAACCTTTCTGCCTGTTGGATTTGGATTATAAACAATAGTGGCTTCATCCACAAAAACAACCTAATTTCATGCCCCTTTCCAGTTCCTCCTTCTCCTAGCAAACTCCCTTCTTTTCTCCTTTTGTTCTTTTTTCCAAAAAGGCTTTTTCCTAGGTATCAGAAGCTTAAAACCAGCTTCTGATATCATTTTATCAATAGTGGTTTTACCAAGACCAATATTCGCTTTTTTGGTAATATCGCGTAATGCTAAATAAGGCTCGGCATCGATAACTGACTCCACTATCTTTCTTTTTATGTCGGTAATCTTGGTTGGTCTTCTACCTCTCGTCACATGGTAAGTATCTCCAGCCTTAAATTTAGCTCTTTTAACTACTGACTGAACAGCTGACTTGGATACACCTAAGGACTTAGAAATTTTATCATATCCCATATCTGTATGTTTATACAGAGTATAAATTTCCTTACTCAGGTCTTCTCTTGCTCTTAGGTTATGTAGACGGGCCATGGTGAGGAGGGTTGTTGTTGTGATCAGGTGTTATGGAGTTGCACCTCAGGTGTACGAAAACTTTCCAGACACGACTTTACACTGCACTAGTAATATCACAGTAG